AGTCCGCGAATCGAGCGGTAAAGAGATCGCCTGTCAAGGGTTCTAAATATCGTATTATAGATGGTGATATGTAACCAACATAAATGCCCAATCTACGTTGAGGTCCCATCTTGGTCCGTTGTGGCGGAGCAATCGGCACATAAACTGCACACCCAAATGTGCGTAAATGAGAAACGTTTGGTGTACTTCCGGACACCAACTGTAACGCAGAATATGGTTGGGTTGCAGTGGGCCTCAATCGTAATAACATAGTTGCGTGCAATATTGCATAGCCCCAAGCAGAGATTGGAAGTTTGGTGCGCATTACCAAAGTTCGTGTAATCCTCTGTAAATTCTTAATAAATGCCTCTGCAAGGCCATTTTGGGTATGAACATGCGCTACAGGATGTTCTATGTCAATACCTAAAGACATGCAATATTCGTCGAAAGACCGCGACGTAAACTCTGCAGCATTATCCAGTCGAATAGACTTAATGGGATAATCTGGATAGTGTGCTCTCAATCTTATTATTTGAGAGAGGAGTTTAGCATAAACAGCATTCCTCGTAGACAACAAATCGACATGTGACCACTTAGTTGAAGCATCAACCATCACCAAAAAATATTTAAAAGGTCCACATGGTGGTGAGATGGGGCCACATATATCTCCTTGGATTCGTTCCAAGAAACCAAGAGAATCTTTACTAGTTTGTGCATAAGCTGGCATAGGATCAAGTTTTCCAATAGAACAAGGTACACATATCTTATCATTGTGTACAAGATCCTTATTTGTTAGTGGATGCCCAATAGATGTGTTAATAATTCGGCGCATCACACTTTGACCCGGATGTCCCAGTCGGTCATGCCATAGAAAATATTTGCTTTGATCACCAGACTTCGAGCAATCGACAAGGTGTGTTTCTGGCACTCGAATTTTGGTCCTATATAACCCATCGAAAGTCCCTCTAATTTTTCCAAGGTACGCTTCTGGCCGTACACGTTAGAGGTGATGCACATATACTCGATCCCTTTTTCATCAGTTGTTTCAACATGATAACCATTGGCTCGAATATCTTTAAAACTCAGCAGCGTTCTACTGGAACGTGGAGAATAAAGAGCTTCTCTAACGGTCAGAATTGTGCCATGAAGTAACATAATATGGGCATTACCATAACCATCTATTATACTAGATGTGCCTGATATAGTAGTCAAAGAAGTCTTACTAGACATGAAACTAACAAAATATGACCTATCCCTAAGGATAGTGTGCGTTGTCGCACTATCTGGCAGACATTCATCCCCACATGCCATGTCTAGAAAGATAAATAAATCTAATCATATATTCCGCAATTTAAAATACTTTAATAAAATCCAAACAAGATAACTCTACCGAGTACCATAAAAACTGAATTAAAACATAACCACATAAAATATAGTCCAGAAAATAAAGCACAAACATAATCCAAATACGAAATTGGTTCATAAGCATGACCAAATAAACAACATAACTTAAAACTGATAAACTAGAAACATAGAAGAATATAATGTCTAAACTCATAAAATAACACTCCAATCATATTCCAAACTAGGTCATTGGGTCAGATGTGCTCAGATTTGGGAGTCGAGCAATGGGCTCCTCATTGAGAACGTCTATCTCAACCAGGTTGGTCTCCGGTGGTGCATTGTTATTTACACCACCAACCATAACGTTCCTCGCACGACATGTGCGTGACCAATGCCCAGTTCCACCACACATATGACATGTATCTCTATTCTGATTTTGATTCTGATTCGGGGCTCTATTCTGCTGCGCACCTCTAGGTCGAGCATTGTTACCTCCTTTTGGCATATTCCCCCTTAGCCCATACTGTGGGGGACCATTAGGTGGCCTATTATAAGGAACATGTCCGCCCCTATTACCCCGTCCTCTCACTCGACGATTGAACCCACGGCCTCTGCCTCCTCCACGATTGTTTCTGTTGACCAAATTTGCTTCTGGCAAAGGTTGAGGATTTCGATTGACCAAATTTGCTTCTGGCAAAGGTCGAGTACCAATTGGTCGAGCCTGGTTGTTCTTCAAAAGAAGATCAAGGTTCTTCTCGGCGAGGAGCAGAACTGTGACCAACTCTGAAAACTGAGTATAGTTCTTGGCTCTGTACTGTTGAGACAGTATCATATGTGAGGCTGAGAATGTAGAGTATGTCTTCTCCAGAATCTCAGCATCAGTTAGTTTCTCTCCACAAAACTCCAGGGTGGATTTGATGCGACATACTTCAGAGTTATACTCGTTAACGGTTTTGAAGTCCATAAACCGTAAGTGAATCCATTTGTTTCTTGCTTCAGGCAAGAGGATTGTCTTTTGGTGATCAAATCGACTAGCCAGGGCATCCCATAGTATTTGGGGATCCTCAATCGATGAGTAGTCTAAACGGAGGACCTCATCTAGGTGCCTCCTAATCAGAATCATAGCTTCATCCTTCTGGGCTTCGTTAAGCAGATTTTCTTTAACAATAGCCATCCTCAGTTTCTTACTAGTGAGATGGATCTTAACATCCATTGTCCAACTCACGTATTTCTCACCAGATACATTCAAAGGGGTGAAATCAAGTTTGCTCAAATATTCCATCCTATCGTACATAGACAAAGAATACATGCGAATCAAATTATTGTGTATTACTTTTATGTCATGAAATTTGCATATGACGTGATACAACCACGTATAGCATATATGACTCGCATAGAATCTACATATATTTTAAAAAAATATTTCAAACAGTTCATGATTATTAGGCAAACCGATTGTTTCACTCATACAGAATATTCACATGGATGATTTTATTCACTGGTTAAATAACACTAAATGTCCAAACATATACGCAAAATATTCATAGTGAAATAATTCTACGAAAATATTACATATTACTCATCTTGACAAACAGATTATTCATAAACTTCTTATCTTCATTCACCAACAGAGTACAATTCATATAACAATCTATTCATGAATCATATAGTACTCGAAACATCAACCGAGATTTTCAAACAAATATCAAATGACATCAAATAAATATGCTACACAACTTTTCATGCTAATTCGAATTTATCTAACATGCATTCATATAATAAAGAATTTCAAGGGGTTAAGGCTTACTTGAAAATTGATAAAATTCAGATACTATATAGAATATTATACGTTCTACGAAAGTAGATCACCGTTTTACAAACGAACCACGCTCACAATTTCTCCAAGTATTCTAGCCCCACGAACAATTGTTCTTTCACGATCACTGCGAGCAATTCGTGCTGATAACGTGTTGTAAATCGCCCTAATGGTATTGCTTTTCGGTTTGATGATTGTGGAAAATAAAGTATAGCAACAATAATAAAAGATAGAGAGAGAATGCAAAGACAAAATCCGTAGAGAGAGATTAATAAGGGTGTAAATATGGGGGAGGGAGAATTCCATTATATAGGTGAAAAACCACCGGGAGTTACAAGAGAAGTTACAAAATAAGTTACTCTACCACTAACACATAATGGGAAGACATGGGTAGGTTAGTGATCTAGTGGGGAGTTGGGTGGTTATGTTAGGAAACCCTACAACCATATTATTTACAACAATAGTTGATTTATGAAGAGAAAAAAATTCCGAGAATAAAAAAACTGAAAAAAAAAATAATAAATATTATTTTTTTAATTTAATAAATAAATAACGAAAATTATATTAAAAAAAGAAAAAAATATATATATGAGGTAGTTAATAATGAGAAAGGCTAGATTTGGAATAAATAAAATAGTGGGTCTACCACTAATAAGGAAAAGGTGATTAGACCCATCTTTATTAAAAAAAAAAGGTAGAGGGGGTTCTCACTAATAGTCCTTATATAATATTAAGTGGTTTTTAAAATGTAAATTATAACCAAATCGATTTAGTGGGTGGTTGTTTTGGGAAGTTTTACCCTATTTTATTAATAACCTAAATAATGGAGTTGTATAATAGTGGGTAATTTTTCAACATAGAAAATCATAACCATAATCAATTAAGTGGGTAGTTTTTTTCCGAAAGTTTTAACGTATTCTACTATTCAAGCGATTTCGTTTCTAACATACAATTATTTATTTTCGATCGCTATGGCTTAAATTTAACAAATATTGTTAATATTGTCTTTAGGCGAATTGATTGAAAAATTACTGCCCGCGTCATGATGATGATTTCAAACCAAGTTTACACCAAATATATAGTCTTAATGTATGAGAAGCATGAACTTCAAATTTCTTTCATTTTCTTTTAGGATTTTATTTTTACGTGGCTCCTTGAAGTAAATGAATAAAAAATATGATTGGAGATGTTGATACCTATGATAGATCAGATGATGGAGCTACTTCCAAATTAAACCCCAAGTATTTTAAAATGATCAAATTCGAGAAGAAAAATAAAATAATTTGTTTTATTTGCTTTTAACATGACTTCAATTAATTTTGATTTAATTATGTTATATTGTTTATTATTATTTATTTATAGGTATTGATTTTGCTTTTTTTTTTTTAATATTCGGCCTTGCAACGCACGGGACAACATACCAGTCCTTATTAGAAAAAAAAAAACTATAGGGGTTTCTTTTCTTACTAATAGCCCTAAATTTTAAAGATGAAGAGCAAGTGTAAGGGGTGGGAGCGAGGTGAATGGGTTACGTGCATACTATACTTTTGTTCTTTTCTTACTACATAGAGAAATATATGAATCCCCAATTAAAAAGCAAAATCTCGATAAAATTGTGAAATTGAATCTCCACATAGATTATAGATATGATTTCGCTTAGTATCCGAAATTTCCCAAGGGAACTTTAACTTAGTGAATCAATATTCTCCCCACACCTAATAAGAGAAATATATAATTAATTTCCCAATGAATAGTGAATACCTCATGTGCCTGCTGCCTGGATAGGTTAGATTTACAATTACAGTCCCTTCAACTAGTAAGAAGCCTATGTAGAGAAATGTCACAACAGGACAATGCAAAATTACAAAAAGAACCGAAAAGTGTCAAAATGTTTTTAGATCATAATTATATATATATAGTTACAATACATCAAAGAAATCCAAACATCTAAACAAGATCGATCGATCGATTGTGACAAAATAGCAGCAGCATGAGAGCTCAAAAAAAAAAGTAGTTAGTAGGTTGGTTTAAGTGCAATACCTTCAAGAATACCATCAGTGGCAAAAGTGCCGTGAAATTGGAGAGGGTCAACTGGTCCCGGAAGTTTAAAAGATATTGAGAAGTGACCTGGCGGACATAGATTCTGTGTTTGCATCTCAAATACCTGTGCGTATTTCTTAACCACTCTTTCACCACTCACCGTCACTCCTTTTATCATCACTGTACCATCACTCTCTACTTCACACCTAAAATCTCCTGCAATTAAATTAATTGTGTTTGTTTGTTAGTGCCTCTACTACACCAACACTTTCTTATCCAAACTAAAAAAAATTAATTGAGCAATAAATACATTAAACTTACTTTCATCCCTTTTCACGCCAGGAAGCGACACACGAAAAAGATAAGAATCTTCCGACTCCCCGATATCCATAAGTCCTAAAACGGGTCCAAGGTGTCCCCTTGCAGCACTTCCAGTCAAAGCAAAACCACATTTAATATTAGCCGCTAGATTATTCCACTCTTCCCTCGAAGGGCAAGACGGAAGGAATATCATACCCTGATCCACACCCTCTTCAGATTCTGACACCACTATCGAACTATGACCCACATTGCACGCAGAATTCGACTCTTCATTACCACCAACATCAAGATATGTGTTCCCGCATGGAAAATACTTCACATATTGAAGGTCAACGTTTGATGATGTTTCTTGCACTTTGACATTGTACAAAGTCGCACTCTCGTCCTCAAATATGTGGACCACTGCACTCTCCCTATCAACAAGTAAATCTCCCAACCCTGTCAGCCTCTTAAACCGTTCAATATCGTGCGGCTTAATGTAATAGATTTCCGGGTTATTTATGAAGACAATGTTGTCAATCATAAATTGAGAGCGGATCATGTGCAGCTTACAAGGAAAGAGATCATCGAACTTAGGGTAAGTTGCAGCAGAAGAATTTGGAAGAGTGCCGCCATTAATGTATTGGAGCAAGAAAGGTTGCTTCAAGACAAGAGATTGTTCGGCCTTTCTTAGGATAAAGTAATACACACTTTCCAACAACGTTGTTTGTATAGATGAACCAGCCAAGTCATTTGCATTGTATTGTGGGAGATTTTCGGCACGTCTTTGCAGAGCTGACTTGTGGGGTTTACATCCGTTTATATCAGGACCAAAATAGGTTCCCATGATAAAATGGACTAGAAAATATTGATCATCGGCACCAGACACGTTGTCCATTTTTTAAACTGCACAAAAAAAAAAGAAAAAAAGATGTCTGGAATTTTAGAACAACTTAGTGGAAGTCTGTTTTCCAACTACATAGACAGACCTATGTTTTTACATGCAGAGAATCTGTTTGCTAAAATGCCACATGAAAATTAGAGCCAAAAGAATTGAATTGTTAGCAGAAAAGATAGAACTAAATACTTGTAGCAACATATTATGAGGTATAATAAATGCACACGAAAAATGTATAAAAATAAATTTGAAGTGCCATATGCCCATAGGTCCAATATCCCTTATGAAAACTGTGCGCTTATCACCCTGATGTAGAATTCCTAATAGGAAACCTGACAGCAAGATTCATGAAGGGGAACAACATAATAAGGTTAACAAGCGAGTTTCGTAACGTTTCGTCCGAAAGAAAAAAACACAATTGAAGTCTATCGAACACCGTCTACGTCAAACTCTGCGTTCTTACCGTAGGAATACAAGCATATGTAAATACAGACTATATGCATGTGAACCTATCTGATTTAGTTTAAAAGGCCATCTGATAGGGAAATCATTAAAGAAAAATAATCCTAACTTGGATTAAAACACCCCCAACTTTTAGTAATAAGCAATTATTACTAACTTTGCTCACAATCACTAACTATAATCTACTTTTTTAAAAAGCTTTTGCAAACACCACCCAAGAGAATCGAATCGAGAGCAAAAGCAGTAGGGGGCGACATGTAATTTTACTTAGTTTTGGCAAAGAATTTAAAAATTGTCTGAGAAATCAAGAGCAAAAAGCTCAAAATTTGTTAAAACTAGCCCTTATTTGGCAAGTGAGTACTGAGTAAAACTCATAACCTTGGCAAATGCAATGAAATAATGGACCATTGCTGCAAAATTATCAACTTTCTCAGACTATATTATCACACACACACCCACACAATAATAATAAATTGGAGGAATATATCGGTCAAAAATGAAATACCTTGACAGGGTGAACAAAACCTAGAAATGAAGTAGGGAATCGGGTACTAAATAGAGAGAGGAAGAACAAATTTCACCAGATTTCAAAGACAAAGACAGCGCCTAATGGGTTAGAATTTCCCAGTTAGAGAGAGAGAGAGATAAAAAGGAAGTAGAGGAGTGTTGAAAGTAGAGAGAGAAGCAATTCCATCATGCACTGCCACGAATGCCACTTTACTAATCACTGCCTAATCATGGGTTTTTGGCACTTTGCACCCTTAAATTACATCATTTTTGCACTTTGCACCCTTAAATTGCAAAATTGGCAGTTTGCACCCTTTAAACATAAATTGTTTGGCACTTTGCACCCCAAATCACTTAAACTTATCTGCAACTTGCGGGGAAACCTGGAAGATGGGAAAATTCATAATTTTCTTATTATCTATCATCTTCCCTCAATTCTTAATTACCGTTCCACCATTTTTATCTTTCGTCCCTTTAATAAAAAAATCAAAAAATCTTTTTAGTATTTCTTTCAATGGTAAATCGGTATAAACACTAAACATAATAGCAAATCACTTTTTTTTTTTTTCTTTTTTTTTTTTTGCTTTTGAGTATGAAAAATAATGTACTAGAAATTTTAGGCCGATCCCTTAATTTTTATTTTTTTTGAATAGTCTGACAAAATAAGGCTATTGAAAGGTTTATTTGGTGGCAAAAAGGTGGTATCTATTAGTTTCATGATGGGAGGAATTTTGTGCTCCCATTGAATAGTCTGGATCTTAAAAATTATTAAAAAAATAGCGTTACCACTGGATTTTCTGAAGGTGTGTCATCGGAATCTTGTCTATATATTCCGACCACTCTTGAGTTTTAGTTCATAATTTCCATATTAGGGCAAATAGAAATGGCTAAGAAGAATTTATAATTTTTTTTATTAATAGGACGAAAGATAAAAATGGTGGAACGATGATTAAAAATTGGGGGATGATGATAGATGATTAGAGAATTAAAAATTTACCAATCTTGCAGGTGTTCAACAAGTTGCAGGTAAAGTGATTTGGGGTGCAAAGTGCCAAATAATTTATATTTAAAGGGTGTAATCTGCCAATTTTGCAATTTAAGAGCACAAAGTGTCAAAATGGTGTAATTCAAGGGTGCAAAGTGTCAAAAACCTTAATCATCGGTCAAAAACATATTCTCTATAATTTCATACAAATTCCCTGTTATTAACAGGATCATATGCAATTTACAACCATAAAATGTCTTAGCCCTCAAACACTATTTTATTTGTATTTAAAATTTTAATATCTTTACATTTTCACTTTTATTGGATTGAATAACTACGAAGAATAATTATATTCTATGGGTATACACTTCTAATATGAAAAATAAATAGAGGTTGGCTCAACTGCATTTAGCATTTCCACCAACTGCATTTATATTTTTGCTTATTTTCAATTTTAATAAAATTCTTTTTGTTTATTTTTTAATTCACATATATATTTTACTGTTTGTTTTATATTATTGTATTTTCTATTAAAAAGGAAAAAGTAATCTTTCGAATTCTTTAATTTGTTTAATTTTTTATTTTTTTAACTATAATTTTTTTATTAACTCAAATATTGATAAATTTACTGTACTGAAATACACATGACTCTAGTATACTACAAGTTCTACAGTCATGTACTGTCTTTTTGCACCAAACTTATAGTCGATCGATTATGTAAACCGTTGATTATATAAAAAAAAAAAGAACTTCATCTAAACCAACAACAAAATTCACAACTTGAATCTTGATATTATAAATCAATTAGTACCCAACAAAAAATTGGAAAAACACAATCATCAACATCACTATACACCAGAAAAAACACATAGTTTATATATAACTATATATTACTATATGTTACTACAGGTGACTATATATGACTATTATATATATGACCACATGTGACTATATATGACTACATGTATATGACCACATGTATGAATATAGTCATATATAGTGTAGTTTGTATTTATATCTTCAAATCCCATTTTTCAACACGACAACAACTCCGATTTATCGTTTGCGAAAGAATTGTTTCGAAATTATTCAAACACCAATCATGTGACAAAAAATCAAGTTTAGTTTTAATATTTACATTATAAATCACTCATAACCAACAAAATACAGACCGAAGATACACATTCACATGCATATGTTACTACATGTTACTATGTGTTACTATATATTACATCTTGAGGGATGGGGCAATTTGTTCCAAGTACCCCATCTTGCCATGAACTCGACCTATGCTTTATTCCAAACTTAATTCATCCCAAAACCAAATTCAATAATTTTCTCACCATTTAAAAAGAACATAAAATAAAATTAATTATAAAAAAAAAAGGTTGATGGGCGATGATAGAGCTGATGAGGTGGCAAGGGCATACTTGAAAAAATGGATGGCTGAAATTAGGAGTGAACTTTTCTCGAATGGTGCAAAATAATTTAGGTCTCTTCGTATTAAAATAAGTATTAAGAGCAGCAGCGGATATATGCAAGCCCCTTTCTTTGTTCAAACACACATAAATGAGTTCCTTAGTTTCAAGTCCACAAATTAATTTAATTTTCTTATATCAAAATGAAAGAGGACGAATATGCCATCATCCACAAATATTAGAAAAATACAAACACAAACCATAAATTCCTATTTTTAATTTGGTCAAGACCAACCAAGAAAAAAAAACAAACGTCCGACCCGCTGCCGCTGCACGACCACCGCCGCACCACCACCCTAACGTTGACCAAGGAGATCGCCACCACGCCGGCGCCGACATACAACCCACCCACTTGCATACCACCACTATCGCACCACCACCACCACCAAGTAAGTTCTTTTGTTTGTAAATTTGAAAAAATTAATCGAACATTGATTCCTTGAAATGAGCATTGATTCTTGATAAATATGTGTGGTGAACATTAATCTATGCTTTTGTTTGGGGGTTGCAACGGTTTAGTCAATTTTGAGATTCAAATTGGATTTTTTTTTTGCTCGTTTTTATGAAATCGGTAAACTGAGACCGATTATATGAAATCGGCATGCCTGCGCCAATGTTGTCCAACAAAACCGGTCTGCAAATTTCGTTACAAAAATCGGTCTGTATATACCGATCTTTGTAACAAAAAACGGTACACGCAATAAATATGTGTGGTGAACATTAATCTATGCTTTTTTTTGGGAGGGTTGCAACGGTTTAATCAATTTTGAGATTCAAATTGGATTTTTTTTGTTTGCTCGTTTTTTATGAAATTGGTAAACTGAGACAGATTATTGTATATTAAATCGGCATACCTGCGTCAATGTTGTTATTTTTATTACAAAATTCGGTCTGTATATACCGATTTTTGTTACAAAAATTGGTAAAATCAGACTAATTTTTGATATCGGAAACTTTTTTTCCCAAAAAAATAAAATAAATAACCACCCATAAGCCTAAATAAACAGTTAAAACATATCTCATTGCGTTCTCCACCCTCATAAACCACCATCTACTTTTTTTTCTATTCCATTGTGGATGTTTGGTGTCTATTTGATAATTTTTGTAGGGTTTCTTGGTAGGTTTGTGAAAGTGATTTTTAAGTTGTGAAATAATGTAGTTTGTGAGTTTTTGTATTTTATTTGGTGTTGCTCAAAGGAAAGAGATTTTTTTTTATTTGGTCTTGAATTTCATTAAGGGTAAATTAATATTTTTATGTTGGAGGTATTGAACAAAGAAAAAAATGGGTTTGCATATATCTGCCATTGGAGGTATATCAAAGAGACCATTTATTTAATAGATGTTCTTTCATATAACCCCTCATTACTTCTTTTAATAGGGAGATGCCCAAATTATTTTACACCATTTGAGAAAAGGTCACTTCTAATTTTTTTTTTGAGTAAATTCAAGTCCATTACAAGGGGAAGTAGGGGAGGGGGGAGTCGATCCCTAGACCATTACCCTATTGGTAAAGGCTAGGTACCAACTCTCCTAGTAAGGGTTGGTGGTCACTTCTAATTTCAGCCAACCATTTTTTTCAATTATGTCCCTGTCACCTCAACAGCACTATCACCTACTATGTGCATCAGCCGTTTTTTTTTTCTTTAATTTTTTTTAATTAATTGTTGTTTTTTAATTTTTTTTTCTAAGGTATATTGATCCAGTATGAAGTATATTAATCGACTATAATGAAGTACAGTCGATTAATGAACTGACTACTAAAAAAACACACAACTACACAAAAACGAAAATCAACATTTTCTTACAAAACAAATAATATACATAAACTAGTACTTCCCCCATGCATTGCATGGATGTCAGTTTAAAAATGAGAAAAATAATAATATTTAAACGATTATCTCTTTATAACAACACCAATTCAAATAAAACAAAATGGAATGAAAAAGAAAATTATCTCTTAATTCAGAGTTGTACCATATGAAATTAAATTAAATATTACAAAGAAGAATACGTGAAGGGAGCAAAACATGATATGAAGATTAAGTGAAATAGTTTAAAACATATAATATAACTGTATTTCATGCAATGCAATCTACTACACCATGTGAATCTTCTGCAAAATAACTAATTTAACAACAAACATAGTAGCATAAAGGACACAATAGATATTCAAATAACCTGCAAGTTTATCACTGAGCACATTCAATTCGTAATGCACATTACTCAAACAACAACACAACTTATAAATATTGCGAAAGATATAAGATGTAAACGCCACGACCAATTATAATAGCAACACTGATATCATATCAATACAGATACTACCACTGATACTCTGATACTAATAATGATACTAATACTAATACTAATACTTATAACAATACTAATACTAATACTAATACTAATACTAATACTAATACTAATAATAATACTAATACTAATACTAATACTAATACTAATACTAATACTAATACTAATACTAATATTAATACTAATACTAATACTTATACTAATATTAATACTAATATTAATACTAATACTAATACTAATACTAATACTAATACTAATACTAATACTAATACTAATACTAATACTAATACTAATACTTATACTAATACTAATAATAATACTAATACTAGTACTAATACTAATATTAATTCTAATTCTAATACTAATACTAATACTAATACTAATACTAAATTACTAATACTAATACTAATACTAATATTAATACTAATACTAATACTAATACTAATACTAATGATAATACTAATAATAATACTAATACTAATACTAATACTAATACTAATACTAATACTAA